CCTTCCTTCCTTCCTTCCTTCCTTCCTTCCTTCCTTCCTTCCTTCCTTCCTTCCTCCCTCTCTCCCTTCTTTCTTTCCTTCCTTCCTTCCTTCCCTCCTTCCCTCCCTCCCTCCCTCCTTTGCATAGAAACGTTATGTAGAAGACATTTTTGTTGTTTAATCTAATTACTTATTTAATTTCCTATTTCCTTGGTACCAAGACACTCCAGTTGCTGAATTCATCTGGCTGTAGGAATAAAGGGAGAAGACATTTCAGCAACCAAGAGCAAAACCTCAGAGTCCCAATATAATAATCACCATGATGAGCTTACTTCCTGTGCAGCTGTTCCTAGATAGAGCTGGGGTGCAAGTAGGGAGGGTTTTGGTTCAGCTTCTTGCACATGAACAATTTAGACCAGTCCCTCTTTTCTGGAAAGGCATGGTTGGGACATTGTGGGCCTTTGGATGTCTAGGTCATATGGGCAACAGGAAATGTCTCAAGACATCTCAGGAACTCTCCTTTAATTCTTCGATAGCATGGAAGAACATTAGCTAGATACTGATCTAGGAATGCCCTGCGTCCTTAATCCTCCTCACATTCCTTGCTGAGCCTTTTTTTTAAAGGCTGAAGTCATAGCATATTTTCCAAGGAGAAGCTCCCATTGCACCGGGAACTTTTATTAATGGGAACAAGCACAGCACCAGCACCAGCATCAGCATCAGTAATAAGATACAGCAGTAACATGGACCTTCTCTTTCATAATTTGTTGCCCAGTACCAACAAAGCCTAATTCATTCTCTCTCTCTCTCTCTCTCCCTCCCTCCCTCCCTCCTTCCCTCCCCACTCACCCTTCACCTACTTATCTCCCTATCATCAGAGTACTTTTGAGTTACTATGCTTAATGTTACTTTTGTTGTTGATTTTGTGTTGTAATTCTGGAAGATCTGTGATTGTACCTTTCCTTCTCTACCTGTTTGCAAGTTGCTAGTGTACTTGGTCTTATTCAGGAAGAGGAACACAGTGAGAAAAACCCACAGCTTACTATATTTGACACCATTGCCATATTTTTAAAATCACCAATAACTAATCCCTAATTCTCTCTCTTCCTCTCTCTGTATATAGTTATCTATAATTTATCTCTCTTTTTAATACTTGTCTTAGGGTGTTCATGGTGATCCTGGAGCAGTAGGTCCCTTAGGTCCAAGGGTAAGTTTGATTTCTTAATAATGACTTTTCAGAGCAAATTTTCAGAATATTCTTAAAATTAATTTTAGAAGAAAAAACAACCATGCATAATTATAATAGTGAGTTGCAGAAATACCTAAGAGTCAAGTTGCATATACAGGTGAAACTCGAAAAATTAGAAAATCGTGAAAAAGTTCATTTATTCCAGTAATCAAACTTAAAAGGTAAAACTAATATATGAGATAAGACTCTTTACATGCAAAGCAAGATAGTTCAAGCCATGATTATAATTATGCATGGTTGTTTTTTCTTCTAAAATTAATTTTA